GGGGGGGTATCCGGCTGAGGGAGGCTCTCCAAACCAGTAGCTCCTCAGAAAGGGGAAATTCCAGGGCTTGGGGACCCCGTACTGACCTGTGGGCAGAGACACAGGCGCTGAGCAGGGTCGAGCAAAGGGCCGCAAGGGGCAGAGGCTCTGCACTCACCTGGGAGGACGCCCTCGATGTACCAGGCTGCCAGCCCATAGAGGACAGCGTCCAGCAGCAGCAGCCCCATGGCCATGGCGAAGCTGTAGGGATCTCCCGGCACAGGGCTGGTGCCCAGGTTATGCCACTGCATGCCCACCCCCTGCTCCTCATACAGCGAGAAGTACTCACAACCAAAGCCAAAGGCCACTGGGGACAGCAGGCTCTGCAGCACCAAGAGTGGCACAGGTGGAGAACACGGCCATGCGGGTGCAGGGGTGCTGAGCACCCAAACCCCACAGCCAGCACATCCAAGGGATATTGGGGTGCAGGGAACGAGGAGCTGCTCACCACGAGGACGCGGAGAGGAAAGGTGACGTGGTCACGCCATGCCACGCACAGCACGTAGGGCAGGTAGAGAGAGAAGTAAAGGATGCCACCGCACGCCGAGGCCAGGTTGGCACGGGGGAAGAAGGTGCTGATGAGGAAGCACTGACAGATGGTGGCCACCGAGAAGGTGCCAAGGAAGAGGAAGATGACGGCCGGGTTGCTGTAGGGCAGGATGTCTCCCAGCTGCAAAATGTGGCAGGTTGGAGTTGCAGAACCCTCCCCACACCATGCCGGCTGCCACCCCCCCAACCTGCCTTGAGGATGAGGACGAGGAGAGCTGAGCTGAGGAGGAAGGGGATGAAGCTGCTGAGGAACCAGCTGAGCCAGAGCATCCCGCTGCTCAGCCCCATGCTCCGCATGGTCTCCTTGAGACGCGCCTCCTTCTCATGCACCACCCCCTTGATGATCATGGCCACCGAGTAGATCCACGCCAGCGTCATGAAGAGCGGCAGCGAGCGGTTCAGCACCCTCAGGAACCTGAGGAGGGCATCAGTCTGACCTCCCCCCCTGCATGTCCCACCACCAACAGGGACACAGCCCCGCAGCAGCACTCGGCCCATGCCCCAGGGCAGTGGGTCGCTGGGGGTCCTGCAGCACTCACACATCATCCACGTAGCAGGGATAGGGCATCTGCTGCAGGTAGACCCCCACCCGTGGGACAGACCCTGTCTGCACCCGCACCACCGCCTGCTCCACCAGGTCCTGCACGTAGACAAAGCCACCCCACACGTAGCGCAGGTCGCTGAATGGGTCAGCTGCAGGGCCCGGGTCCCAAAACCTGGGGTAGAGCAGCACGCTGAGAGGGGAGAAGGACGGACAGCACCCCACTCCAGGCTTTGGATGCTCAGAGGGGCTGCATCCCCCAACCTGTCCTTGATTTTGTTGGTCCTCGTGACATCGTCGATGTCCATGCGGATCTTGTAGCGCACGTGGGGGGGCAGCGCCGTGGCCGTGGCATTCAGGGGGGGCTGGAAGACCACAGCAGCCCAGAACTGCCTCTCCTCCAGCAGCTCCATGGCACGGGCCACCAGCTGCTCCTCGCTGCCCACCGCCTCGATCTTGTCCAGGCGGACGCATCCCAGGAGCTGTGACAGAGCACCCAGTGCCCGCTCCGCTTCATCCAGTGCCTGCTGCCAGCTGAGCCCTGCTGACCCGGCCAGCAACTGTGCCAACACCGACTGGGAGGTGCCATTGAGGAGCCCATCCAGGAGCGGTGCCCTGCCCGGTGCAAGCAGCAGCTCCTGCCAAGCATCAATGCAATAAAACCACCTGGCTCTGGAGGTGGCCCCATGCAGCCCCCGCTCTGGGCACGCACCCGCAGCGCCCGCAGCTCCTGGCTGCCATTGAGAATGGCACGGATGTGGGCTCCCAGCTCCAGAGCAGCACCAGCTGTGTCCCGCAGCGCTGCCAGCTCCTGGAAGGTGCGATTCACCTGCGAGGGGAGGGGATCAGGGGGGGGAAGCAGGGTGCAGCCTCCCCCCCCCCCCAACCCCCAGCACTGTGCGCGCTCACCTCAGCCATGATGCGGTCGGTGGCAGGACTGGGCGGTGTGTACAGGATCTTGCCCACAAACAGGGGTTTGATGCCGCGCCAGAAGAGCTGCGAAAGCGGGGCAGCCTCCAGGCTGCGGAGCAGCTCCTGGCAGAAGGAACCTGGCAGAGGGAAGAGCCGAAGCCTTGCATTGCCCCCACCCCCCAGAGGGGAACCTGAGGATCCCTGATTCCCCATCCCCTCTCACTGGTGTCGTTGTCGGGGGTTGCCGTGCTGCGCCTGGAGCCGTTGCGGTGCATGAAGGCACCGACATCGCTGTCCTCGTACCAGTTGAGGGAAGGCACCTGCAGCCCCCCACCCTCAGGGTGCCCACAGGCGATGCGTGATACGGCCTCAAAGGCGCCCACAGCAGAGGAACCAGGGGCTGTCAGCACTGTGACCTCACGCTGCAGCTCAGCCACGGTGCCCATGGAGGAGAGCTGCGGAGAGAGGGGCTGCAGGGAGGGCTTGGGTTGGGGCAGGGATGCAGGATGATGTGGGGATGCGGTACCTCCTGTAGCAGGGACTCAGCGCTCTGCAGGAAGGGGCCCAGGGCTGCCACAGCATCGTCCATCTCCAAGCTCATCTTCCACTCCTGTGGGGGTCACGGGGAGGGCTCACAGCCACCCCAAACACCCCCAGCAGTTGGGAGGATCCAGCTGTGGCAGGAGTTTGGCTGCTCCGGGCACCACGGGCACTCACATCACGTGGGCTGAGCCCCTCCACCAATGCCTGGTGCAGCAGCGAGGTGTTGGCGCGGAGGAGGCGTGTGAGGGCATCGCCCTGCAGCAGCCGGGATGAGATCAGCGCCGTTCGGCCCCGCAGTGCAGGCAGGAGCTGGGCGAGGTGGTGCAGGAGCTGCCAACCATCAGCACGCTGCAGGGCCTGGCGGACATCGGCCAGCAGGCGGGACAGGCTGCAGGCATGGGAGGGGGGGGATGTGAGGGGAGCAGAGCCCGGCTTGGCATCCCTCATTGCCCACCCTGCTCACATGGAGCCTCCAAAGTTGCCCACTGTGCCAGGGGCCTCTCCTGGGGTGGGCTGCTGGAAGCAGGGGTTGTGCACGTTGCAGAGGATGCCCTGCAGCCAAGGCAGCGTCCCAGCTGATGGCAGCGCCTTGTTGGGGAAATGGCCTGAGGGGGAGAGAAATAGGTCTGGGGGCTGCACCGCTTCCATGGAGAGACCCAGACCCCCACCCTGCGCAACTCCAGGAGCAGAGCATGGCAACACTCACACTGGTGCTGCTGGAAGGGGGGGTGGGAGCGCCGCACGGCCACCAGCACCAGGAAGAGGAAGAGAGGCCACAGCAGCTCGATGGCCAACTGCACCTGAGGGGACACCGCAGCTGGAGGGGACCATCGGCACTGCGGGGTCACCACGGAGACCCCCTACCCGAGCTGCAGGCGTTGCTCACCCGCTGCCTCCGGCGGTAGACGAGGTTCTTCCAGAGCAGCAGCTGCAGCTGCGTCCCTACAGCCATGGCTGCGCCGCGTGTAGCGCCGACGTTGTGCGCTGCGTGGCTCCGGCTGCGGGGTGAGAAGCATCCCATACTCCTGAGTCACTGCCTCCATCCCCCTGCCAGGCTGCCCGCGGCTCAGCAGGGCTGGGTTGGGCACCGGCACAACCCCGCGGTGCCGGGAGGAGTCGGCTCCGGAACCCGGCCAACAAAGCGCCTTTCCCAACCCGAGCCTCCAAATCCTATTCTTTCGCAAAGCAAAACCAGCAAAACAGGCACGAGCTCTAGAGAGCTCCTTTGGATCCAGAAGATGCGTTCACCCTCACGGGGCTGCAGGTGCCCAGGGGTGTAGGATGGGTCAGGGCGCTGCCCGTGCCTCAGTTTCCCAAATGCGGGCGCTCAGCTCCCAGCCCGTGTGCGGGGCACAAGGATGAAATGCGTGCCTGCCCGGCTCCTGCCCGTGCGGAGCACGGCGCGGAGGGCCCCCCCCAGTTTCCCTGCTGTTACCTCCGATGCCAGTCCTGTCCGGAGCAGGGAAGCGCCTGGATGCAGCCAGAGCGGAGCGGGGGACGGGCCTTTGCAGCCGGGGCCACCCCCCCCCGGTGCCCGGAGCCGCGCACTCACCCGTCCGCCCGGTCCTACAGAGCCCGAGGAGGGGCGGGCGGCACCGGACGGGATTATGAGATCTCGGGCGGCAAATCCCGCTGATCTCCGCCGGGGGGAGGGTTGGGGGGGTAGGGCTTCGCCCCCTTCCTGCTATAGGGAAGGGGAAGCGGCGGGGGGGGGGGGGAGGGGGATGGGAGGAACGGGGGGAGTGGGGACAACGGGGCGGGACCCTGCAGCCGGGGGGAAACTGAGGCACGGAGCGCCGGGGGGCACCGGGGAGCGGCACGGGGCAGCGCACGGCCTCAGCTCCAGCCGGAGCGTCCCATGTCGGCCCAGGGGGGCAGGCAGCCGCCGGGGGGGAGGATGCGCATAGCAGAGGGGAGATGGAAGCGCTAAAGATGATAAGGGGGGGAACCTTCAGTAGGGAGATGGGAGATGAGGAACCCCCACCGAAACACGTTACCGATGCCGGTTCCCACGTCACGTTATCACGGCGGGCCCCGCCCCAGCCGTCTTACAAACAGCTGCGTCATGGAGCGGGGGTCTTAAAGGGGCCCCGCCGCTTCCCGGGGGTCCCGAAGCCGCCCCCTCGCCACAGCGCATCGGCTGCAACTACGGGTACCGCTCCGCTGCTGAGTAATTCGGGGGGTGGGATGGGGCGCGGCTACGGGAAGGGATGGGGCGGAACTGCCGCCCTCCCCACGCTGTGCTTCACCCCAAAGCTTCGCCCCAAAGCGTCTCACCCGGCCCTGGTCCAGGGGATACGCGGGGCTCGGGTCCCAGGGCCCCCCCCAGCCCTGGAGCAATGCCCAGGAGAGTGCAGCAGAGAGCGCTTTCCTGCTCAAGTCGTTTGTTTTTTTTCTTAAAGAAAAGGTCGATTCCTTTTGTTTTTCTTTTCTTTTTCTTTTTCTTTTTTCTTTTTTTTTTTAAAAAAAAGCTTTCAATATAAGAACATCTGTATTAAAAACCCCCACGTGGTTGGAAGAAGCCCCCGGCCCGTGGTTGCCCCCACCTCACACAGCATCACCCTGCAGTGCAGGGGCACCCGACTGAGATGGAATCTGAAACTTTGGTCCCAAGAGTTCTCCAAAAAACAGCACATCCAGCTTTGCTTTTAGGGAATCATAGGAGAGAGCATGGAATGCCCACAGCCCCAGACCCTTCCAGCACAGGACAAGGAGTGGGCAAAGCTGCAGGGCTGCATCTTGGCCAGTCCTTTCCCAGAAAAAAGAGATTCCTTTTAACATTATTTAAAAAAGAAAGAAAAATAGAAAGAGGGAATGATGAACTGAGGCCAGAATGTGGCTGCGAGGGGGACTGCATGGGGACAGCCCTGCTCAGCAGCTCTCCTCCTGCTGGTAATAGTGGTACCCAGGGAGGTCAGTGCCCAGCTCACCGGCGGCGTTGGCTGCATCCCCTGGGATGCCTTGTGGGCAGTATTTGGGGTCATAGATCTGGCGACCCAGGCCGAAGACCTGCCCGCTCTGGTTGGCACCCTGGTTGGATCCCATCTGCAGCGACATGGAGGAGTTGTCACACTTCTCCAGTCCCATCTTGGCGTCGTAGATGTGCCGTCGGGTGCCGGGTGCTGTCATGCCCACCTGGAAGGAAGGGAGGGAGGGAGCGAGTGGGGCTCAGCACGGTGCTCCACACAATGCCATCATTTTGTCCCCCCCTCCCTGGCTCACCTGGCTGGCACATTTGTTGGTGCCCATCTGCAGGCTGATGGTGGAGTGGTCCATGGGTGGCAGGATTTGGTTCTTGGGGTCGTAGAGGTGCCTCCTGGTGCCGTAGGCCGTCATGCCGGACTGGCTGGCACACTTATTGGTGCCCATCTGGGCAACAGAGAGTGGTGAGAAGCAGGCACCGCCCCATCCCCCCCCATCATCCCCATCCTCCCACAGGGGATGGCAGAGGAACCCCCCAGCTGTGATGTGGGGCACTGGGGGTTGGCAGCTCCCACCTGCAGCCCGATCACGCACTGCCCAGCTTTCATCTTGGCCTCATCGAAGTTCCGTTGCTGCCGCTCGGAGTATTTCACACCAATGTCCACACCACTCTGCAGCCCCTTGGTCTTGGCCTGAGGGAAGGCGGTGAGGAATGAGGAATCTCAGACTTGGGGAGCTGCTGGGCACAGACCGGTGCTCATCCATCCCACGGAGCTGCCCCCATCCCTCCCCATGCTCTCACCATGCCTGCCAGCGCCAGCAGCGACACCTGCACCTGTGTCAGATTCCCACTCTCAAAGAGGTCGTTGGCTTCAAAGAGGTCCACAGGGTTCATGCCGTAGCTGGCCATGGCCTTGATGAAGTTGGAGAGGTTCTCGAGCTGAGGGGAGGCACAGAGCACTCAGGTTGTGAGGAGGGGGCACAGGACAGCCAGGTTACAGTGGGGGCATGGAAAGCTTGGGGGCTGCTTGCACCCACCTGGTGCCAGTTCAGTGCCGAGCGGTTGATCTTCCTCACCGAGTTGGGCTGCAGTTTGTTCATCAGCCTGGGGGGAGGTGATGGTGGTGAGCTTGTGGGTACGAGGGTCACCCCTCCCCAGGGGAATGCTGACATCACCTGGGGGTCTCTGGCCCGCTCCTCCCAGCTGGGAATGAAGCAGCCCCACAACACCGGAGATCCCAGAGCCACCTTCCCTCTAATTGCCCCCAGGGCTCCCCACAGCTGGGTCTCCCAAACCACGCAGTGCCTGCGGGCCGTGTTGGCACCTCCCATGGGTGCCGTGGGACTCACTCGCAGAGGATGACCCCATCCTTCAGCCCCTTCTGGAAGTCGGCCCCGATCTGCCGCCCGGTGACGCTTTCGATCCACGTCCGCAGCTCTGCCTCCTTCTGTGGGTCGTATTTCTGGGCGAGCTGGGGGAGGGTGTGGGGTGGTCAGACACGGCCTTGTGTGCACCCCAAACCCCGTGGGGACCGCTCCCCAGCACAAGGCCGGTCCCACTGCACACCACAGTGTGAGGCGTGGTTTGGACAGCCCCGGGATATGCGATCAGTTGCAATTTCCTGGTGCACAGGAAACCCAGATTCAGCGGTACAGAGACTGCCGAGGGGAGGAAGGAGAGCAAGAGCTGCAGCAGGGCCCTCCGGGGTGGGCACGGTGTGCCCGAGGATGGAGGGTGACGGTGGAGAACAAAGCCACCGAGCTTCTCTGCGCCGCCGGCTGCCGCTCTGCTCCGCGCACAGGAGCGGTCCCAGCCCCGCACGGCTCAGTGCTGTCATCAGCACGGCCACATCCAGCACAGCCCGCAGTCTCGCACGCGGTGACCCCGAGACTCTGCAAACTGTCAAAGAGGAAGAGGACGAGCTGCTGGCACGGCTGCTTCTCACCTCCGCCCACGGGACCCAGCACCGACCCCAGCCGCGCTCATCCCTCCCGCCGGTCCCTTCACGCCGCCGCGGATTCCTCGGCCACCGCGGCTATGCCAGGAATGCGGCCGCCTCCTCCCAGATGCAGAGCAGCCGCCCGGGAACGGCATCGCCTCGGCCCGACAGCGGGGACAGCGGATCCTCACCCTGGGTTGGAGCAGGGAAAGCTGTCGCAAGAGGAGGCTGAGAGTCCCGAGAGCCATCGCTGCAAAGACGCAGCACAGCCCACCCTGTGCCAAAAGCCCAAGGACTCCACGGGGCTCAGCTGTGCCCTGTGAGAGGGGTGCCTGCTCCTGCCCTGTGCCTGTGCTGCAGGGTCACCAAGCCGGTCCCCAGGTTCCATCAGACACCTCTATGGAGCCTTGCACAGACAGAACCGAGGGGAGCACAGCTCTCTGCAGTCTCCGTGCCTCAGTTTCCCTCTCAGTAGCCCTGGCGATGCGCCTTCTTGCACAGAAAACAGCTGGGGGGATGCTCACCTCACAGAACCTCAGAGGGTTCAGAGGAACACCCTGGGATGGATGCAGAGCTGCCCCATGGGAGAGCTATTCCCAAGGGCAATGGCCCCACAGCCCAGTCTCAAAGAGGAAGCTGGATCTGACTAGGATGCAAGGACGGAGCGGCCACCACGGTCACACTTGTGCTGTCACGTGGATGCTGGTGGGATCCCCCCACGCACAGCTGACCTACACACAGCACTGATTCCTCTTTCCCCCCCTTCCCTCACCCCGCCTGGGGGACGCAGCAGAGGAGCTGAGGGCCGTCCTGCAGCAGGAGCAGCCCGTGAACAGACCCCATCATAGGACAGGGCTGCAGGTCCGACGGGTTCTCAGCAGTGATGTCAGCCTGCAGCCTGCACAGCGGGGCCGTCAGACTGGCTCAGCTCTTGCTGAACCAAGCTAAAGCACCTGGGAGCAGGCAGCGGCGAGGCCCCTGCACGTGTCCACCCACTGGGTACAAGCAGAGGCCCGTCCTCGTGCAGTGACGAAACCCAAATCCTGTGAGGCCAGGAGGGAGAGCCCAGCTTGAGCTGTGTGCGCATCCCGCATCCTGCCTGTGTCCTGGGTTGGACATCCAGCCGTTGATCCCATCCCTGTGCTGCACGGGTGCACAAGGAAGGGGAGGTGGCTGCTGCATCCCCCCACAGCTGAGCTCCATTCCCAGAGCAGGGATAGGGCACAGCCTGGGCTGTGGACCCAGCCAGGGGACCCAGCCCTGTTCTGAGAGTGGGAAGGGCAGCCCTCCGGACAGCACCCCACATCATCTTGGAGTGCAAACAGCCCCAGCAGAGCAATCGGGTTCCACTGCCCCCTTCCAGTCTGACATCAGGGCCCAGTCTGAGCCTTGGGGTCCACCAAGAGGGACATCGTCCCTCCCCGAGGGACACAGAATGATGGGAAAACAGAGAGCAGGGAAACCTCGGGAGCAGAGCTGCACGGAGCCGGAGCCATCGCCCCACTCACATCCCCCCCCCCCCCCCCCCCCCCCCCTTGCAGGGAACCGGGGGGGACCGGGGCGAGAGTGGGGGCTGCCGGTGCCCGGGATCCCTCCCAGACCCCCGGGGCCCCGCGGGACAGAGTCAGAACGCCCCACGATCGGAGCGCGGCTCCGGCACACACCGCGCCCCGGGACCCGACTCCGCATCTTCCGGAGGGCATCGAGACCCTCGGAACACCTCCGGGACTTCTCTGCTCGCAAACCCCCGTTGGTCCCGGAACCCCCCCGCCCCCGGCGCGGCTCACCCGGTTCTTGACCTCCGCAGAGAGGCCGTAGGAGGGGCCCTTGTTGAACTGGGAGCTGCTCATGGCGCGACGGCGGCGGCGGAGCGGGGATCGACGGCGGGACCGGGAGAGACCGGGCGGGACCCGGCGGGAGGGGGGGTGGGGGGGTCGGGCCCGGCCCCCCCGCGCTGATTGGACGGGCTCGAAATGCCCAAATAAGGACAGGAGTGGCTCCGGACCCGCGCATCCCGACACCGACACGCGGGGGGCTCCGGGAGCTCTGGGGACGGAGGTTGGAGACGGAGCCGCCCCGGGCACGCGTGGGACACCGGGACACCCCCACGGGTGTGGAGTGCTACGGACGCGCACACGCGTGTGCAAGCCCCGAACACGTGCGCGCAGTGATGCGCACAACCGGGCCACGCGCGGCCACGCGCTCTCGCGCGCACACCTACCCGCACGCCCCCTCCCCGCCCCCTCTGCCCGACCCCCTGGTCCGACCGCCTCCCCGCATCCCCATCCCTCATCTCCCCGCCCCGCACCGCCCCTCTGCTCGCTTTGCGGAGGGTGACCGAGAGCTGCACGGCTGCGTTGTGCTGTGGGTGGGGTCCTGGGGGGGAATGGGGGGGGGGCGCAGGTGTGGCCGGGGACCAGAAATGAGGGCAGAGCAGAGCAGAGCCGGGCTGGGCTGAACCGAGCGCTGGAGCCCCGCAACCCCGCACTGCGCATCCATCAGTTAACTGAAGGGTCTGACGGCCCCACAGCCCCAGTGCCGGGGAATCCGTCCTCCCTGGGCCGCAAAACTCCACGAGGAATCCCCGGCACCCGCACGCTGAGTGCCACACGACACCGGGGGGGGGCGGCCGGAGACCCCTTCCTCCCGGCCTCGTGCCCTCGCCGCACTTTTAGCTTTTCCTGTTTCAACTTTGCCTGCGAACCCAATGAGGAAATAAGGCGGTGTCACATGCGCTGCGCTGACAGTTGGCCCCAGCGAATGCTGACGGAGGGGTAGCGGAGAGCTGCTGGCAGCTCGGGGCCCCCCCAGGGCCGCCCTATAGCCATGTTCTCCCGGAAGAAACGTGAGTTGATGAAGACCCCCTCCATCTCCAAGAAGAGCCGCGCGGGGAGCCCCATCCCGCAGACCTTGCCTGTAAGTGAGGTGGGGAGGGAGGGATGGGGTGGCTGGAGGGATGCGAGGAGGAAGGAAATGAGGAAGGACTCCGCCGACGGGACCGGGGGGACTTTGCCCCAGATGAAGGGGATGCAGCAACAGCCGAAGGGCCCGGCTGGGAGGAGAGCGGGCAGAGCTGGGGCTGCGGCAGAACATGGGGAGCGCGGTGGAGGGAGCGAGAGACCCCGACTGCTCAGGGGCAGGAGCAGGGGAAGTGAGGCTTGGCCAGCCCCACACCACGGCTCTGCTATGGGTTTATTTACTCATCAGTGACCCGGAGTGCAAGAGGAAGCGCTTCTCCTCTGTGGGGAGGCCGGCAGACGGGGTTCCTCAGCCCGCCCCGCGCCTGCGCTGCTCCCCAACCCACGGGACGGGGCCGCCGGCTTCAGCCCGCCCGCAGCTCCTCGCAGGGTCACCCATCCCCATCCCCATCCCTTCTTCACGGTTCTCCCCTGCTGAGGGGTCTATGGGTGGGCGCAGCCTGCAGGCGCTGGGATGCTCGGCAGGGCGGCGGGGCGGAACAGCTACAGCCCCTACGCTGCCGGGCGCCGCAGGACGGGGACGGCCAGCTCTCCAAAGCGCTCCCTGGATTCGCTGCCCTGCTCGCCCTCCGTGCGGCTGACGGTACGGGGATGGTGGGAGGGAGCAGCCCGCGGGGTCTGCAGTGCCCTCATCAGCTCTGCTCGAGGTGCTGCCGTCTGGGTGGCCTCGTGTTCCAGGGCAGGATTGGAGAAGATGCCGCGGTGTTTTTGCCCCATTGGTGCCAAATCTGCTGCTGTTCCCAGCACACTCGTGTCACAGTTGAGGCTGTGTTGGGATGGAGGGGTGCAGAACCCAACCCCATCGGTGATGGCTTTGGGGCACGGGGTCTTGGGAGGTGGCTATCAGCCTCTCCCTTGGGGTGATTTCACCCCTAGAAATCAGGGCTCTGTGTGTCTGCAACAATTCTGTACTCTTTGCTATTGGCGGCCCTGGAGGCGTCCCCAACCCCGCAGTGCTAAGGATGTGCTGGACTTGGACAGCAAGAAAAAGAGGAAGGGATGTGCAGGGCCAGATCCTGCTGTCAATGGAGCCCACCATCCTCAGGCAACGCCATCCCCAGGGCGGCACTCACGCTGTGCTGTGCTCCTGCAGGATCTGTCCCGCAAGGACTGCCTGGAAGCTCCCAGCCCCACGGAGCTGCCTCCCACCAGCTCCAAACTCAGCAGCAGTCCCAGTGCTGTGGGCACCCTGAAGCGCCCCACCAGCCTCAGCCGCCATGCCAGCGCCGCCGGCTTCCCTCTCACTGCTGCCAACCCCCGGGCCGTCCCTAAGGGCCACAAGACCCCCACATCCCACAGCCCCATGGAGGGAGGGGAGGGTCCTTTCATCGATGTGGAGGACATCTCCCAGCTCCTGACCGACGTGGCGAGGTTCGCAGATGCCCTGGAGAACCTGCGGGACGTGGTGCTGCGTGATGGTGAGTGCTGGGCTGGGTGCCCCCCGGGTGGCCATGGAGGGGGAGTGGGACTGGGGGACCACAGAACCCCCACGGCATCGCCCCACGGCACAGGGCTGTAAGGCTCCAGGGATGAAGGCTCCAGCGGGTGCTGAAGAACAACATGCTTGGTCCAATGGGGGGGGAGGGGGTCCCTGCCCTGGGGGGGCTGTGCAGAGCTGGGGGCCCAGGGGCAGAGGGTGGTGGGTGGCTGCTGGGAGCTCAGAGCCAGGATAACACTGCTTCCTGCCTGCGAGCTATTTTCATCCGCCTGCTTTCCTGTTTACAGCACAGCAGTGCCAGCTGCCTGGCAGTGGCCCTGGACCCTATGGGGCACCAGCACAGCCCCGGCCCCTGGCCCTCCCTTTGGGATGGGGATGATGCTCGAAGCAGGAGCGGGGCTGCAGGGCTGCAGGGCTGTGGGGCTGCAGGGCTGTGAGGCTGTGGTCTCCGGGGTTGCAGAAAGCAGCCACTGTGGTTGCTCCCCACGATGAGGTGGGGCTGCTGGGATCACATGGTGCCCTGTTTTCAACAAACATGTTGACGCATCCTCACTCACGGTGGAAAACAGCCGTGCCCAGACGTGGGGAACATGGTGCTGGAAATGAGAGAGGGAGCAGAGGAAAGTCCTTCCCCACCTGGAGCTGGGACCCAGGCTGCTGTCCTCAGTGCATCCCTATGGGATGCTGAGCGCTGCCTGAAGGGGCTGCCAGCACCCTGCCCTGAGCTCACACACTGCTTCCCCTGGCTCTGAGCACTGGGTTGGGGCTGTGGCGTGGTGCTGGACCCCACGGGACACAACCAAGCCAATGGATGGGGCAGGATCGTGTGGCCAGCAGGGAGGAGGGGAGGAAATGGGAAGGAAATTCCCATACCGCTTTCAAAGGAAAAATTTACTACTGAGGAAAAAATGCCTCGAAGGTGTGCCTGCACCATGGCAGGGGTGAGCACAGCACCAGGGATGGGGTGTACACAGGGCTGCCTTTTCTCCTGCAGACCCCAAGGAGTCCCAGCGGCCGCAGGCCCACGAGTGTCTGGGTGAAACGCTGCGGGTGCTGCGCCAAGTGATCAACAAATACCCACTGCTCAACACCTTGGAGACGCTGACTGCAGCAGGGACCCTCATATCCAAAGTGAAGGGTGAGCCCAGGGCGGGGGGCTCCATCCAATTCCCACCCCGTTGCTGGGGAGCCCATTTTGGGGCTGCCTGGAGCAGGGCTGCCAATGGATGGGGCACGGAACGAAGGCGCTGCCATCCAAGCCTCAGCCCTATTCCAGCCCCCTGCTCTGGTCCCACATCCCCGTGTTTGTGAGTGGGCTCTGAGGGCTCCGGTCCCACCCGGGGCAGAGCAGTTACAGCTGTGGTGGGGAGGGCGAAGGGGGAAGGAGGGAGGGCTGTGGTAACCGCAGGCACAGCACAACACTGCGTCACCGCTTCCTGGAGCTGTAACCACACGGGGACAGGAAGCCTCGGGGCTGGCAGTGCTCTGCCATGGGGCCGGCCCCACATGGGGGCCTTGGGATGGAGGCAGCTGAGTGATGATGGAGATCCGGGTCCTCACCCAGCTGCCAGCATGGCAGAATCGTGTTCCTCTGTTGTCCTGGCCTCCTCATGGCCGTGACCCCGGTGCTGGGAGCTGCGTGAGATGGTCCGTGCTGTGGGGTGCAGGGTGCACAGGGGTGATGGGGCTCCTGTTTCTCCCCCACCCGCAGGATTCCATTACGAATCCAACAATGAGACAGACAAGAGGGAGTTTGAGAAGGCTGTGGAAACCATCGCGGTGTCCTTCAGCAGCACGTAAGGGTTTTGCACCGCCGCCCCTGGATGCGGATGGGGTGCTGGGAGGTGGCGCTGCTTTGTCACCGCTGCTCCTCCTCTGGCTGACTGTGTTCCTCTTGTCACAGCGTCTCTGAGTTCCTCATGGGGGAGGTGGACAGCAGCACCATCCTCTCCATCCCCCCCAGCGACCAGAATCAGGTGTGTGCCTCCCGCTGGGGGTCTGCTGGGGTCTCAGCCCTAAACCTGAGCACAGGGGTCCCCTCTGAGCACTCCTGTTTGTCTGACGCATTCCTTCCTTTCCTGATTTCCCAAAGTCTATGGAGAGCCTCTATGGGGGGATCCCTGGGCCTGGAGGGGATGGTGTGCCCTCGGGCATGGAGAGCTATGATGCAGGTGAGCAAGCAGGCATTGCTGTGGGACTTGGGGGTGGTCAAAAAGAAATGGGCTCTGCCATCACCACCTGGACATCATCCTGCGCTGAGCTGCCCCTGGGGACACAGCTGAGATGAGATGGCAGAGCGGCTGCTGTGGGCATTGGGGTCTTCCTGGCTACTCTGGGGGTCCTAGGACCAGCCCAGCAATCAGCAGCAGCACGGTTTGGGATCATTCCCCTTCTCCTCTGTCCCCACATCACAGTTCGTCCGGCGGCGGAGGAGGTGGATGTGATGCTGCAGCGCTGTGAGGGAGGTGTGGATGCTGCCCTGCAGTATGCCAAGAACATCTCCAAGTAC